CAGATTAACTGGCACTGTGAGAAATGCACTGAATATTCCCTCGTCACCAGCCAAAGATGTTGCCCTCTCCAGCATACTTAAAGATGCAAAAGGTTAAAAAGTGATGTTTGCCTGAACTAATTGAAGTTGTATGTAAACAGCTTACTTAATGGAATACCTGGGCTTTCGTGTCCTAATTTAAGATAACTAAGTAATAATGTGAGAATTTGTCTATTATTGCATCACCATCTGGTCTAATACAACAGCTGTGCCATAAATTCTACATACCCTATGTTCAGTATTTGTGTTGAAAAATGTGTATATTTGAATACATGGCTGTCATTTAGGTCATATTTAAAGGTGGTGTCATCCATTTACATACATGAGGGAGGCAGATTATTAGAAACACCACTGAATATAATGCAGTCCAGTCCAACATCATCACTAACTATGACCTCAGTGCTAAACCAGCTAATTTAATGTGGGCTACAGGCAGAACCTGTTTTGGAATGGATTAGACGGTGAAGATGTTCCAACTGAAATGGCCACCGAGTGTATTTTATTGCATGTACAGAAGAAAATAATCAATTCCAGGCCATAGTTAGACATGGTAGTTTCTGGCATGACCTGTATTGTCAACATCAACTCTAAGGGCACTGTTGTAATGGAAACAGTTATTGAAAAATTTTAAGTTAAATTAGCGTAATAGGGAAAACAATTTACATCAGCCATAAACAAAGAAAAACTCTTGTCAGAGGGGAAAAAGCCTGCTTTTCAAGACTTGCCACGCAGAATGCTGTACATGAAATCCCCTGAGCAGGACATGCTTGAACTTGCCATTTTAATTAGCTCTCTGAACAAACATGTTAAAAACACACAGGGAAATAACATATCTTATGATGCTTTTTCTGAGGCTTATTCTCAGGAGAAATCAAGCTTTCAAACAACACTGTTTCAGGCACACAGTCTGATTTTACAACTGAGAAAATAGGTGGTAATTGACCAATAGGTTAGAACGCTTTTAATGTCAGATACATTTGCCGTTTACAGTCTATATACTGCTGGAAAACCTTGGGTACATAGTACAAACTTCTGTTAAAGTATATGTCAGCACTGAAAGTGAAGAACATAAATGAATAATGGCTGCTTGTCCCTGTGCCCCCAATTAGTACAGACATGCATTGTTATATGGTTAATTGTCTTGCTCCTCTGTGTCTTTTAACATGCTCCCAGGACATGAAGGAGGAAAGGAGCGCACACTGAAGCACCAGCTGTGCATGTAAAAGCCTCTTGATGGCTCATTCAAGGCATCATCAGGCTGCTTTTGCATCAACAATAACCGCACACTGTTGTCTCCGCAGGGGTTTCTTTAACTCTGTTTTTTTTTTAGTTTTTTTTTAACACCACTGGGAAATAGCGTTGAAATATTTCAGAAGATTGACGTGCAGCCCCTCTGTCCAAAGAAACTGATATGAAATTTAACAACAGGAAAACATCGTTCAAGCTTAAAATTCACATAAGGATTCAAATATGTTATTCATATGACCTAAGGCAGCTTAATGTCTCTTTATGACGATGAACAATTTCCCAACATTAAAGCCTAAATCTAATTTGGAATGCTGTGTTGATTTACAGCCCGGAGCACCTTCATTCATTTTAAAAAAAAGTTGGGTGATCTGGAGATTCATGCCACATTTGTTTGAATTTTGACATCACGCTAGTGCCACTGTATCTGATTCCAATACAGAAAATGCATGCGCTCATTTCCAGCTGTAACTTTCCTAGTTGTTGATCTATTGATTTCATTATCAGTGGGGCACAAACAGGCACAAGAGTGAATATTTTGAAGCTGATAAGGATTTCACTTTAAGACATAAAGGATAGTTCCACATTTTTAAACTGTTTCAAATTAATACACATACTCCCATATGTCCACTGAAGCAGGTGTTGCTTGCTGTAATCATTTCTCCTGCTCGTACTGGTCATTAAAATATCCCCTCATAACATGTTTCCAATGTAGGTGATGTGGAAATCAAATCAAATTTGCATCTTCCAAAATCTTTGTGGTACTAGCCATCCACTGCAGCTCAGCACAGAAACACAAAGATGGAATTTCATACTTTGACATGCTGTAACTTTTGAAGATACTGACTTCATTTATCTGTACAAGACGGTTGAAGCGACATATTAGCTTCAAATAATCTTAGGAAAATATTAATATTAATCGTCTGTTTGAACGGGGAGAATGATTACAGTAAGGAAAAAAAAAAGGTTTCACTGTTGTTTTAAGATAGACTTGAAAAACTGTGTGTATCCCTCAGTGCTATTGTATGCCCTTGCAGTGCTTGTCTTCTGAGACCATCTCAGATTTAGTGTGTTACTTTTAATTTGCCAAACTGAGCTGAACAAAGCAATGTTGGGCAACTATCTCAAGGGGCATGGAAGACTATAAATTGTAATTACATGGGCTATTAAACTGTTGATGCACAGCAGGCTTTATTTTCGTCTCCAACGTCAGGTGAGCAGCATTTTGAACACTGATAGAAAACCTGGAGATCATTATTATCATAATTATTATTATTATTATTATTATTATTATTATCTTTTATTTAAGTTTTTTTATGTAACTCCATATCACCAACTTGAGAATGTTTGTTCATGTGCAGTGTATTTCTAACAGATTTGATTTTCTGTCTGCTTTACAAATCATGACGGGTGCAGGCCTTGGTGTGATGGATCTGTGTGTGACCATCAAAGGGGTCTCCTTCCTCTTGCAAACAGGTATGGGCATCTTGGGGAACACCGTGGTGCTGCTGGCTTACGGCCACATCATTTACACCGAACCCAAGCTCCTTCCTGTGGACATGATCCTGTGCCACCTGGCCTTTGCCAACCTATTGCTGCTTCTGACCCGCTGCGTCCCTCAGACCATGACTGTGTTTGGGCTCAGAGACCTGCTGAATGATCCCGGCTGTAAGGTGGTGATCTACGCCTACCGCATCGGCCGGGCTTTGTCAGTCTGCATCACCTGCATGCTCAGCGTGTTTCAGGCAGTGACCATCGCCCCTGCTGGACCCCGTTTGTCAAGGCTGAAGCCTGCACTTCCCTCACTGGTCCTCCCCACCTTTGCAGGGCTGTGGCTCCTCAACATGGCCATATGCATCGCAGCCCCTTTCTTCTCTATGGCTCCACGTAATGGCACTGTCCCTGCCTTTACCCTCAACCTGGGCTTCTGTCATGTGGACTTCAGAGACAACCTGTCCTATGTGATCAATGGGGTGGCTGTCTCTGGGAGGGATTTCGCCTTTGTCGCTCTGATGGTGGGCTCCAGTGGTTACATCCTGTTGCTTCTCCACCGCCACAGCCGCCAGGTGAGAGGGATCCGTCGCTCTCAGAGTGGTGGAGCAGAGACCAGGGCTGCCAAAACAGTGGTCACCTTGGTGGTTCTATACGTGGTCTTCTTTGGGATTGATAACGTCATCTGGATTTACATGCTGACAGTGGCTAAGGTGTCACCAGTGGTGGCTGATATGAGGGTGTTCTTCTCCTCCTGCTACGCCTCTCTCAGCCCCTACTTCATCATTTCTTCCAACAAGAAGGTCAAGGCAAAGATCCTGTGCGCATCTGAGCAAGACCGGCCGTCAGCGGATACTCAGGAGTCGAATGACAAATGACTCTTTCTCTATCTTGACAGGCTGTTGACTCTCCTGCAAGACAGCAGAGTTGTCAGACCTTATCATTTTGAGCATTTGTGCACAGATGACTGTCATTACCTGAGCAATAGACCCTTTAGGAAGTAGTACTAGAGAGAAGTGTCTGAAGTGGTCTGTGTTTTTTTTTTTGTATATACTCCTACATTTTTATCAGAATCATAAATACACAGGTCTCTGTACCTGCAATATAGTTTGTGGTCAATTTGTATACCCACATATCATTCTCATCATCATCACTGGAGCTGAAATGATTAGTCGATCATAAAATCTTGAGAATTGATAAAGTGTTGAAGTCATTGTTCAAGCAACTACACCAACAATCTGCTTGTTCCAGCTTCTTAGTTGTGAGGATTTGATGCTTTTCTTTGTGTCTGTCTGTAATAGTAAATAGATTGCCTTTGGACTGTTGGACATATAAAGGTAATTTGAACGGGGTCATTAATGACCTTGTCCTTAACATTGTTTCAGGGAATTTGAGGGTTTAAATGTTCAGAAAATGAGTTTTTATATTGTACAATTTCTCTTAAATTGCACATGGTGAGATTTAAAGCCTGGTTCAGATCTTTTTGAGAATCAAAATTCTTAAATTGGACTGTTTAAGGTCAGAAACATACCAGAATTATATTCCTTGAATTGTATGAAAGCTTTTTGACAGCATTAGATACTTGACTGAAGAGCTAAAATTGACCAGACATATATAAGTTAAATGAACATTGAAATGTGGAAAATAAGACTTTTTTTGGTCACTTGTCAAAAAAATATCTGGACAGTTGAGGGCTACAATCCTTAATTTGAAGATGACAATTTAGGATTTAAAGTTGTAATGGTTTTGTTTTTTGTTTTTTTGTTTTTTTTTTACTTTTATCAACATGTCATATATCAGATGATTATTTTTGACACCGTTAACAGCAAATAATCAATAATGAAATAATAATTAGTTGCATACCATTCCATTATTCTTAGGTTTTACCTATCCCCCCCCCCCCCCCCCCCCCCCCCCTCTGGTTGCGCTCTGATTGGTTGAAATTTCAGTAATAAGATGCAATGGTATTTTTTGTCCTCAGACTAACCTTTCAGGCAGCACTTCCCATCTGCAGGAACTCTTGTTAGAAAGCCTTATCAGCCAAATGTATATGTGAAAATGTAAATCACAAATTGTTCATCCAAGGTTTCAGGCAATAGTAGATGTTTGTTGTCTCTCGATGTTACGTGAACGGAGATGATTTCGTTTAGGGCGCTAATTCAGCCTGATAGATATTACCCAGGGAGAGTAAAACCCCATGTAAACACAACAAACCCCGGAAAAGGGAAGCGGAAAAATGAACACAATGTTACAACAAAAGTGAAGTTCGAGAAGTACATAATACCGGGAATAAACGTATCTGTGGATAACCATATGCGCACGAAGAGAATGACTTGTGAACGCAGCATTTACAAGTCATCAATCGCGTCGAAACGTGGCCGTTAAGTTAAGTTGCTCACAGTATGCGCAGCTAGTAGTTAGCTCAATTTCACAACAAGACGCTGCAACGCCCCTGAAACTGGTGACAAGAAAGTATTTAAAGACCACTTTGTGATGATACTAAAGGTCTCTCCCAGTTTGTGCTACATCGACCATTGTTGTTTTATTTCAGGTAAGTTGTTTCGGCCGCTTGCTAACGGGCGGCTACTGTTAGCTAGCGTCAACTATATCGTTAACGTTACTTAAACATGCTTCGTAACCAATTTACAACTTAATGGTGCTTTTACAACTAACGTAAACTTTAGGTTTGGTTTCCTTTCTTGACTGTTGTTCTCCATTGTTCTGCTGTTATGCCAGGTTCAATGTGGCCGTGCCCGTTTTTTGTTTAATGAACAATTCTGGATTGATGCCCAGTCCTCCTCCCTCTCTCCGGTGCTCTGTGTGAGATGACCTGACTCCGAGTTCACTGGTTCCAGCAGCAGATGACAATGGCTAGAATAGCCTGGTACCAAGAGAAGGTAAGAACAGCCTTTAATCAGTACGTTCAACAAACTAATATCTAAGTAAATATATTCAGTTCAGTTTAATTCAAAAGCTTTATTGTCGTAGGCAGAAATAAACAAGTGAGCAATGCAATGAAATTCTTACTCTGGTGTCTCTCTATCTATCTTGATGCCAACAGCTATTGTATCTAATTGAAATATACTAGAAACTAGTAAGTAAAAAAAAAAAAAAGAATAAGTCATTTTGTGAAACAAATATGTACAGACTTGGTGGCGAAATATATACAAACACATTTATATCTACAAAAGCATACATATATATGCATATTTCCACTCATATCTACATCAACACATGCATAATGAAGTAGACAATAAGGAAGAATTATGCTAAATACAGTATTCTCATAAAGGAAGAACATTTGGTGTACAAATTAAATATATATATAATATATATATATATATATGCAAACTTTTCTTCTTTAAAGTCTCTGCAGAATCGGGTAAAAAAAAAAATGTTTTAAGGCTCCCTGTGGTTGGAATAATTTACCATGAGCATGCTTACACATTTTTTCTTACACTTTAACTGGGCAAATATCACCCATCGTGAAGGTAAAGGATTATAAAAGTTCTGTTGTTGTTACAGATTGGGGCCTATGACCAACAAGTCTGGGAGAAATCTCTGGAGAAGGCGGATCTAAATGTAAGGCACCTACAAATCTCTGTCAGGAATGAAATGTGTGTATTTATGTTGTGAATCACCACTAAATCAACGTACCCCTTGCCTTTCCTCTAGGGTTTGGACAGCAAACCAAAGAAGACATGTCACATCAAGCCAGACCTCATTGATGTTGACTTGGTTAGAGGTAAGGGTGAATGAAGAGCAGTTATCCACCTATTGTTTTTTTAGTTAGTTTGTTATACACATTTACAATTATTTACATATACAATTCATCAATAAACAAATATGTGTTCGCTTAAAAAAACAGTAGCTTTTCTAGTGTGTGTTGTGGGAATATAAGTGCTATAGCCACATTTGTAGTCATTTCAATAAAGCTGAGGTGAATTTATTTTTACCCCCCCCCCTCCCCCAGGATCCACCTTCAGCAAAGCCAAACCAGAGAGTCCCTGGACATCTCTAACTCGAAAGGGTCTGGTCAGAGTGCTGCTGTTCCCGTTCTTCTTCCAGTGGTGGATCCAGGTGACCTCCAAGTCCATCTCCTCATGTATCCTTGTGCTCTACTTCATGCAAGGTAAGCATCACTGAGTCTAACAAAGTTACACTCATATTAGGGCTGCGGGTTTCTTATATAACGGCCCTAAATTTGAATGCTATTTTAAATATTTACATATAGACATGAACTGGGGCCCAAGTAACAGACTTAACATTGTAAACTAACTCATTCTGTGCTGTCTTGACATTATTCATTTTCACAAATCATTTCAGCTCTACTCATTCTTGTCTTTAACCTAAATAATAATTAAAAACGTCACTTGAAAAAGAGGTTTTGAAGAATAGAAATGCCTCCCATGAGCCCCATCTATAATGCAATCATTCATGTGCTGTGAAATAGAGAAGGAGAATATATGGAGCCAAGCTATGAGAAATTAACAGAGATTATATGCACATCCAGCGAGGGTTTAAAAACTAACTGAAAGAGGGAATTTGCAGATTTTATACACTGTTGCACCTTTTAACAGTCTTTTATTGCAACACTGACATTTTTAATGGGTGTGTGGTTCTTTAATTAAGTAAAAATTCTTCAGGCAGGTGCTAAAGGGTTTTTTCATAATCTCTTTTGACTAAATAACTTCCAGTCATTGAAGGAAATAAATACAGAACATGGTTCTTAATATCTTCAATGGACAAGAAACTCTTCGAATTCACTGTGACTTTATGCAACTTCACTTTGATTTATATCTATTCCTATGGCCTAAGTTCAGTGTCTCATTTGTCACAGTTTACACCCAGTTATACCTGAGCAACAGCGAAACGTCATTAGTAAGCATGAATTCTGCTATAATGAATCCCCTAAGAGACCATTTTGTTTGCTGTTGCCAAATGTTTTGCTCCCCTCAGTGGCAGCCGTGGTGCTGTACTTGGAGGTCCCTGGGGCCAGTGCCAGCGAGGTGTTTGGACCCATGTGTCTGTTGCTGCTGCTGGGCACTGTGCACTGCCAGATTGTGTCGACGGAGTCCAGCCGGTGGCCCTCGGGCAGTCCAGCTGCCAGCAGCACCACAAGCCCTGCGCGCAGAAGGAGGTGGTTTTCTCATTGTTAGGCTCTGCACACTCATTTGCTTGTACTAACACTCTCTCACCTCTCGTCACATGCATAAACTTATCTGCACACAGATAGATCCAAACACTGCACCATGCAGTGAAGCCACTGAAATACTCTCACCCCTGTTGTTTTGGACAATGCCTACTCTATCTACCATCTCTTATTTTTATTCTGTCTCCCTCAGGCCAAGGAAGGGCAGGGGGCTGAAAAAATCTGAAGAAAAGAATGGCAGTGGGGACACAGAAGAGCAGGGTCCCTGGCCATCTGAAGAAAGTCAGCGATTATACAGAAACGAGGAGAGGAGGGTACAGTCACTCATCTCTCTAAGTAAATCTTCAGTAAACAAACTTGGGTCAGTGACCTGTGGTGAATAGAGGATTCTCATTCTCAGCAAGATAAGCAATTTTCAGAATTAAAAACGGCAGTCAATACCTAGTTGCTGGCTGTATTGGAAAAGTAGTCACAGCCAAAATGTAAGCAGCATTAGGCAACTAGCTAGTGTTGAATGGTAATTGATGAATTGATCTTTAGTTTCCTCTGAGGTATTTTTTGTAGAAAGGCAGGTTTATTCTCACCTCAATTTGTTGGCAGATTAATGACACCAAAAACACCTGTATCTTCAATGCGGTCAATGACCCTTGTCAACCATTTGTAGAGCTTATAATAAATATTACATCCTTTGTTAATGTACAGTAGTTCATTAGATTGAGATTCATTCGATAGATTTGTATTATGTTAATCTCATGCAGTACAGAATGGCATTCAGAGTTGCTCTAACCTTAATTCTAACTACAGGTTTAAAATTTAAAATTTGTTGTACTTACAAATATAAGTGTAACTAAATCTACCTCTGTTAGCCTAGTGTGTAATGTGTAGGATTATAGAAAGAAAAGAACTGGAAAAAATATTTTTTAAATTATGATGCCTAATTTATTATTTTAACAACACCTTAAAGTCATTTTCAAACTGCATCAAAAATGAGACTGACTGAAATAGAGAAATACAAATGGCATTCCTTTTTTCTTTTTGCAAATGCACATGCACATGTTGTGGAACACGTTTGTAAAATACTGTATTTGTGATGTTCTCTGGCAGAACAAAAGAAAGTCAGGATTTGGGGCATCAGACGAGCTCTCCAGTGAGGAAGAGGAGGGGGTACAAGCAGTTGAAAAGATTCGCCCACCAGGTCATCAAGAGAGACAACCTGCACTTGTGTCTTCTGTTAGAAAGAGAAACCTGAAGTCTAACCCCAAACCTACACTAAGGCCACAGGTAAACTTATTGTTACACTCTATGTTAATGAAACTGAAGTTACAGGTGCAAGTTTTATGTTTGATATACAGCAAGCTTTCAGTTGTTGTAGAGATGATGTTTTAGTTATAAAACTGGAGTTTAATATGTAATTTGCTTAAGATGTTTGTTTCCAATATGGAAGAAGCAGTGAGTAGACTTCAGATCGATGTATAATATAACATAAAAACTCTTTATACACTTTGATTTGAGAGCAGGAAGGGGGTGGAGCTTCCATCAAGGTGAAGCCTCGAGAGGTGGAGCGTCTCAGGCCGAGCGTCGGCTCTCGTCCTGCCTCTGACACTGACGACACAATGTGGGAGGAGCTTCTCCAAGGGCCTGACACTGCCTCTACGGGCAGCAGTGACAGTGAGGGGAACGGGAGGTACAACGCCGGCTCCACACTCCCACAAACCACCACACTGAGCAGTGATGATGAGAGTCTCCAGCAAGGAATCACCGGCGTAAGATTGCATAAATCTTTAATACTAGATACTTTATGGGGTGTCGTGTGGCGTAGTGGTCTAAGCAGGCGCCCCATGTGTAGAGGCTACAGTCCTCGCTGCAGTTGGCCCTGGTTCGAGTCCCTCATCGGACGGCCCTTGCTGCATGTCCTGTCTCTCTACTGTACTATCAAATAAAGGCATAAAAAAGCCCAAAAAATATATATTAAAAAAAAAAAATACTAGATTTATCTGTGGGAATTACAGATTCAACATGTTTGTGAATTTTTAATCAACGATACCACATGCTCAAAACTCAATAGTTGAGAGATACCATTTGACATTTATATAATTAATGTCTCATATGTAATGTGTAAATTTAGCAGTCCCAGGTAAGACATGGTGAACTTCTTATAGACTGTGTTCTGTCCATAACCATCTCTTTTAATGTGAATTTAGCTTTGGTGCTGTAACAGCTATTTTCATCATCGATTAATCCGTCATTTATTTTCTTGATTAATCAAGTAATAGTTCTCCCTGACCAACAGACCAAAATCCAAAGATTTTGTTTTTCTGTCGACTGACTAATCGATTAATTGTTGCAACTCTTAGACCAATTACAGAATTACTCACTGCTTTTTTTTTTTCTTTCTTTTTTTTTTTTTTTTTTACACATTAGAAACCACAAGTTCACAGGATGTTATCTGTTCTGTTTTCAATTTAGAACCAGCTGTCTTGGCTTCAGGCGTGTCACCCATCCAAGGACCGGGTCAGTGCCATAATATGGGAGCAGGGCGAGTGTAAGAAAGCAGACATGTCCGTGTTGGAGATCAGCGGGATCATCCTCACACGGGTACATTTTTTACCCTTTTTGTTGACATACATTCTCTGGGTAAAGACTTCCTGGAGATATAAACCCTAAACAGCAGCAAAGTGTCTCAAGCCTTAAAGTCCAGTATTCACACAATGACTACCTTCTAGTTTTTTTGGTTTGTCAGAATCAGAATCAGATCTGTAGCAGTGCGTTGCCGCTTTTGAATGTTGCAGGAAATATTGTAATTATAAGTAGAGCCATCTTCAGTGACAAAGTAAAGTGGCAGATAAAAATGACATTTGAAATGACAGCAAAGATACAAAAATGTGACATTCTTGTTGATTTGGTGCAACAATGTTGTCTGACTGAGCAGACTGTAGGAAAAACATAGTTGCTGTAGCTTTTATCAGCATAAAAATGTTGCAGCATAACAAGATATCTCCTGTCTCTCTCTTTTGTCTCCTTTCAACAGGTGAAGTTAGTGGAGCAGGGTATGGGTTACCTTGTCTTTGGTGGTCTCATGACTGTCACCCTGGTGCTGCTTCCGTTTGCCTTCCGCTTGGCTCAGCACCTGGACATGTCGAGCATCGGCACTGTGTCCCCTACAGAGCTGGTAGAAATGGTGCTGGGGTCGCGTGATGGCCAGACCTATGCCTTTTTCTTCATCACAATCGTGCAAAGAGTCTGCCTCACTGGGCTGTTCTTCTTCATGATGTGTGTGGCTGAGAGAACGTACAAACAGGTGAGAGGCCACTGATGCAATCTCCTGTTCTTTATTTCCAGTTATGTCTTTCCTCTGTGCCTCTGTAGTGAAGCAGTGATAACAATAGTAATAATAGAGTTTTTATCTTCTTGTCACTATACTGCTATACATCTGAACACCTTCAATTTTAACACATTGAATATCTTATAAATGTCAATCCTAATAACTCCAGATTATGTCTCATAATCACATTTGGAAGTTTTCTATAGTATCAAAAGATATCCTGTTGATAGTTTTTAGATCCATGGTTACAGCACAACTCACAAAATAAAAAGAAATACAGACAAAAAGTCTGAGAGGGTTTACTGCTGTCCCACTGAAAATCATCAAGTGCATGGGCTCTCTAGCGGACATTTTGAGCCCCTTATGCATACTAAGTCGGCATTTCTGCAGATTTTACCTGAGGGAATTACCCACAGTTCATAGCATTGTTACGTTGAACACAGGGTTACCATGGTTACCAGAGGACCTGAGAGGGTTCAGGGTTTAGACCTTTTAGGGGGAACATTGGGATTGTTCCACTAACTCAATGGTAATATTATACTTCCTACTTGCATTCCCCCAAAGCATTATGGGAACTGCAGTTCCAAAACATAATCATCCCAAATAGGTAAGAGGTAAAAGAAAAGGAGTCACAAAATCCATTAACTTATATTCATTATAATTTTTTGGTTTGCACAATCAGTGTCTTTATGACATTACTAGGGCTCATAATGTCCCATTAACATGGTTCCTCCCTCTTTGCTGAAAATAACAGTATGTGTCATGCCTGGTGAGACATGTAGTGACTCTGCTAAAAGCCTGTAAATAAAGGGAGTGACAACTGACTAGAAAAGCCTAGCGTTCTAAGGGTGAATCATTGATTAATAGTATTATTATGGCTGATTGTATTTTTTTAAGCATTGTACTTGAATTAATCGCTGATCGTATACAACATTTACACTGATCCATCTTTTTATTCACTCATGCCATCTGGTCGTCCCCCTAGTGGCACATAGCAGGTGGTGTCTACAGACAACAGACTCACTCACTTGCTTCTTTGCAGGACTGCTAAATTCTGTCAAGTGCTTTGCATCTTTTACAGTTTATGTCCATGTTTCCCCAACAGAGACTTTTATTTGCTAAGTATTTCAGCCACCTCACTTCTGCTCGCAAGGCCAAGAAATCTGAGATCCCTCATTTCAGGCTGAAGAAAGTCCAGAACATAAAGATGTGGTTGTCACTACGCTCTTTTCTCAGGGTTTGTATTCTCCTGTTTTAACACTCTCCTGTTCTCTTATTACTGCATATTGTTTTAACACTAGAGGGTTGTCATGGACTTGCTTTTGTTTGCAATGGTGCATCACTGACTTGCTTGTTTATTGCAGAGACGAGGGCCGCAGCGCTCTGTTGATGTCATTGTCTCCACTATCTTCCTTTTAGCGCTTTCCATTTCATTCATCATTTGTGCCCAGGTCAGTCATATCTGCTGGAACAGATCTGATCTGTTTAGAGAACATACATTTAATAATGTTGTGCAAATAATAGAGTCTTACATAGAGACCAAAGACACATGCAGCAACAACAGCCATAAACATTAAACCGTCTAATCATATTGAGAGTGAAGATAAGCCTGATAGTTCAGATACAAAATATTTAATATACTCTGATGTCAGGAAGCCTACAACAAAGTGCTGGGGACTATTAATATAAACACTGCTGCTTTTGCTCTACCTCAGCTTCTTCACAGCCACAAGACATTCCTACAGTCTCTGACAAACTGGGAGCTGATGGTGTGGGCCTCTTCCCTCATCCTCTTTCTGTTACGGCTGGCTACGCTGGGCTCAGAGACCAACTGCAAATACAGCAACTCCTCTGTGCTGCTGACTGAGCAGGTAAGTACCCATGGCTGCAAAACACATGGCGGTGCAGGTTATTTCTCAGTGTGTTCACAGCACGATGAGTGACATTTTGATGTAACGGTGTCGGCTGATTTATTATTAGCATGAAACGATCATTCATTGTGGGTTTAAATAAATGACTAGGTCTTTATTGTACAGTTTGCTGTATGTAAAACTCTTCTTGGTTTCAGATCAATCTGTATCTCAAGATGGAGAAAAAACCCAATAAGAAAGAAGAACTCAGCATAGTGAACAACGTCTTAAAACTAGCTACAAAACTAATGAAGGTAAGCATGCATGTGGCTGTTCTCTTTTGCAACCTGGATTTCCAGTTGAATATGAAACTGTCTCAGTGTATTTGATCATACAGTTGTGTTGTTTACTTTGGAGTTTAACCCCCATCTGAGCCAATTCTTCTCTCTTCTAATTGTTTCCAGGTATTTTTATTGAGCCAAAATATGATTGAACATAGAACAGCATTTGAATTACAATTAAAAGTGATGCTTCATCCTGTTGGCAAGATAGAAAATAGCCAGTGACAGCTGATATCAGTCAATTCAATTCATTTCCTGTTATCTCTGTTCAGTAATTCTATCACCCTCTTGTACTTGATCTTATTATAATATGTAATTTTAATATTTCTAATGAAGGCCTAATGGAGGTATTTTTTGCCCGTGGCTTTTAATCCATAATAAATTCTGGCTTTGACCATTTCTTTGAATCAAGGTATGGGTGCCTATGTTGTAAATCTAAAAAAAAAAAATGTATTCTCACTTAACCCCCACCAGGAGCTGGATACTCCATTCAGACTGCTGGGTCTGACTGTGAACCCTCTGATCTATAACATCACCAGAGTGGTCATCCTGTCTGCTGTGTCTGCCGTGGTCAGCGACCTGCTCGGCTTCAACATCAGAGTGAGTGGAGTCTTTCTGCTAAATTACACCTCCTTGGTTTCTGTGATAATGGTGCAAGAGGACAGAGCACAATGGGTGAAAGCTGCACTCCGCCAATCTTGCACATCAAGTTGAGTTTTACTCCTCAGAAAGAGCACTATTCAGCCTGTGACAAAAAGGGTATTACAGCTAGAGCTTGGACACTACAAACATGAGTATTCACCTGTCAGAGGGTCTAACAACATGGTGCAACGTGGAAAATGTTGGAGCCAGTGATTTTGGTGCTTGACTAGGGAACCAAACTCGTGGCATCTCCAGGTGTTGGGGTAAATATTTTAGAAACCGTATTCCTTTGAATGTGGTCATCTTGACAGACAAGTTGGCAACATGTATATTGAGAAACAAGATGTGACAGATGAGTGGTGAGAGCAGAGGAACTCAAAAGTGCCTTCTAATGGTTAGCAGGCAGTGCCTTAAATTACAAGTACCGTACATTGACAAGTCCTAGTCTAGTAAAGGCAGGAAATACATTTTAAGAAGTATGCTTATTCACTTTCTTGCAGACAGATTAAAAGATTAGAAGATGTCAGTCTTATGCCTGTGTGATGAGTGTGTAGATGGGGCCAGAACACAATGACTTTAGCTTTGCATAAAAACTGGGATCAGGGTGAAACAGCTAGCCTAACAAACATGCCCACCAGCACCGCTGGTGCTCAGTAAGAAACTATAACTTACAATTTTGACATTTTATTCGTGTATGGATTTAAAAAAAAAAAGAAGAAAGAAACATGATGTTAATCGGTGATCTTTAAGGGCGAGTATACTCCATCAGAACTGCTTGTCAAATGTTTGAATAGCTTTGGACTCTATGAAAATGTGTATTGTTATTGTTTGATATTTAAATGATATCACACCCATCCTTCTATTATGGACCAGCTTGTTAGCCGCCTTCCAGTGTGGCAGTTTACATCGGGTATAACCAGTTTTGACTTCTGATGTGGTCGGACAGCCTGTCATTCGAACCACTCTTCTTCTAGTATAATTCAGCCCTTAGAGCTGCTGGTATATTTATGAACTTTGAAGAGTCTTTATGCTAAGCTAAGCTAGGTATCTCCTTGCTTTAGCGCTGTACTTATCACACAGACATGTGACTGTAGTTCAGGACTGGCTGCAAGAAAGTGAATAAGCATATCAAAGTGTTCCTTTAACCAAAGGTGCACCACAGTAGGTAATGATGATGTATTATGATGTGTTATGTTAATATGCGTTTGTGCTGTTCTGTAAAATGAAGTGACAGTAATCATCTTTCTCGAATGAAAGTTTTATCTCTTCTCTTTAATTTGCAGCTGTGGAAAATCAAGCCTTAAATGTGAAAACAGCAAACCACTAAAAGTCAGACACTGGAGACCAGAAATCCCACTGCAGACAGGCTCTCATCTACAAAAAGTGTGCAAACCTACTGACAGTATTTCCATTGTCTGTGCCTTCCAACTGAAACTCCTGTCTGAGTTTCATCAAACATTCACAAGCCTGAGATGCTCTGACAATCGCTCACACACCATTACTGGCTGCTAAGCTGGTGTGGCATCACACACTTTCCCTCGGCCAAGCCACTAAACCAGTGCCTAACCTTTGACCCTTGAATGTTCCTCAGTATTCAGTTAAATATAGTGGTAGATTTAGGTCAGGCTTCTGTGGCATCCAAATTTCCAATTGTCTTGTACAGATGTGTGGACACAAAGTGAAATGTAAATCCAGTTAATAATGTAGATAGTTCAATCTTATTCACTAATATTCTTCATCAATATAATAGTTGAGTATAAAACAAGCCGTGTGCTATCTAAAGCTAGTCAATCAGAATGGGTGGCCAGCTGTACTAAATGAATCTTCATAGGAATCACATTTGATTTCGACCTTTTGTACTATTTAATGCGAAAACATTGTGACTGTAAGTGGGCTTTATTTATTTGGGGTTGTGTTTCAGCACTTCAACTTGTCATGGTACCTGAAAGTCATGACTCTGACCACTATCTGCCTTTTGTATTGAGGACCATTGTTGAATAAAATAACTATGCAAAGAGGGTATAGTTATGCTTAAAGAAAATGTTTGATAAAGGTGAATAAAGTCTTTTTCATCCATGGAAACTGGCGTCAGTGTTTTCAATTCTTTGTTTTCCACCTTCACCGCCTTGTTCTCACGGTAGTTTGCAGTTGATCCTCTGCAGAGCGCTTATGGTTTTGTTCTCAGGGCTTCTGAATTAGTGAAACAGGACTGTGCATTTACGTATCCTGCTGTCGATCTATTACCAACGTTACGGTAGGAGAGGGGGAAAAAAATGACGTAGAGGCACACCTCCAGCTTGGAAGGACACCAACCGGCCCGAGGAGGCACCTCGGCACCAAGGACAGGCCGACCAGACTGGCTCCTCCAGCCGCAGCGGCAGACGCAAACTCTCGGTCCGGCAGATCCGGAGCTCCCTGCGCCGACAGTGTTTAACGGCGTCCGCACAGGCGTCTCTGGCTTGCTGAACTCATCATATTTCACTACCGACCAGGTAAAAATAAATAAATAAAAACACAGAATATGATGCTGTTAGAAACGCGTCCTGTGTGGATTATGTTAAACATTTTCATGGCAGATATAGTGCCGCATGAACTCAGTCACCCCAGTCAGAGAGGAAATCATTGCTTGCCTTGCTCTATGTGGCTTTGTAGAAGACAGTGCTTTTAGCCAAAAGGACCTTTTTTTTATTTAACAGATGATGTGGCAGCGCCTTTTCTCCTCATCCTCTTCATCTCTGCCTTTATGTATCTGTTGCCAGGGATACATAAAGCCATTACCATAACACATATTTGGAAAAGCTACAGTTTTGTGTGCAGGGTTCTATTCTGTCAGAAAGGCATGGAGATGGCACATTACATGTATGTCTGATTCCTCTGTTTCAGACCAGCTTGGACAATGCCCCTCTGAGAGAGAGAGAGAGCTGATTTCAAATTGAGCCCAAACAGGATTTCAACATGTCCAGCTCTCAGAGGGACAATGGCTCTGCAAACTCAGCAGAGGCTAAGAAAACAGACCTGAGAATAAATGAGAAGAAATGTTGTAAGTAAATTCCTCCCACAGATTAGATTTGAACAAGTTCTTCTGCATGAGTGCTGCTGAAGTCTACAGGCGCACTTGTAATAGAAAACCTTGTATTGTTCACTTTCGACTGAAGCTCCTTCATTTAGACTCCAGCCCACAAAAGATAGCCTTCAACAGAGCGGTTCACAGCAGGAAAGAAAAGAGTTATGACCAGTGATATAAAAATACTCTGTGTGACCTGCTGTGGTTTCCACTGTAAGAAAATGACTTTTCTGTCCCAGGACATTTCTCCTACTAATTTCTTCAGATGCTGCTTTTAATCCCAATCCACAAATGATATTTATGCCTAAAGAGACATAATTATTTTCGTCCAGTTCACACGTGGCCTAGTTATTATGTTGTCTCAGTTATGATGAAATACAGCTTACAACTTCCAAAGACGCAGTACATTTACTTCTATGTTGTTAATTTCTCCTTTTGATACTGCATTTTCTGTAATACAGGTGATTAACAACTGTATAGGACCCTTATTAATTTAATTAATGACAAGTGTGTATATGTCTCCTATGCAGCATGGGCTTCCTATATGACAAATTCTCCAACAGTGATCGTAATGATCGGCCTGCCTGCAAGAGGGAAGACGTACATGTCAAAGAAACTCACACGTTACCTCAACTGGATAGGAGTCCCAACCAAAGGTAGTGTACGACATGAGACAAAAGCCTGTTTTCCATCTCAGCGTCCCCACTTTAAATTTTAAAACAGTTCACTGCTCATATTTCAAAGTACAGTTGATGTGGCCATCCTGTCTTCAACTTATCTCTGCTATATGGGGACCATATTCAACTTTTTAGAGCAGTATATTGTAGTTTCTAAACTACACTTCCTTATTTAGCAGTTTTAAAGCAATACTCTAAGTCTGAGTGTATGTGAAGAACATTAAAGCAGCCTTAAAGATATTTAGAGACAAATTTGTAGTTATATTAAGACCTTAGGCCTTGAGTTTAGCCCATCACATTGTATAGCAATATTGTTGTTTATAGCAACCCTCACCCCACATGACATGTATATTTAAATGTACTCTACTGTATGTCAGAGTATCTCAGAATAGGAGACTAAATTTAGTATCAGTTGAGCTGTAATTGCTTACAACCACGACCTCACCGGTGACCTCAAACAAGCACAGCAAGGGTGTGAGCGAGTGTTAATGTCATTGTTTCATTTTGCAGTGTTTAACTTGGGCGTATACCGCAGAGAGGCCGTCAGAGCTTATAAATCCTATGATTTCTTCCGCCACGACAATGAGGAAGCCATGAAAATAAGAAAGTGAGTTCCACTCTTCAGTCCTTAAATGGGACATTCGCATATCATCTATCTTACAATAAGGGAAGCTGTTTCATCTCTTCTGTCTGAGTATCACATTTCTCTCAGTCAACGTGAGTCTGTTTGGTATTCTGCAGCTTCCACTGCTGCATCAGTGACTAAGCTGTTTTTTAGGGCAGCAGTTGATATTCAGCCGGGGTCAGCACAGTGTTCATACATACCCAAACACATCGCATGACAAAGCATGACCACCAGATCCTCAGGGTTATTAGATTGTACGCAGATAAACTGAAAATAATTTCTCCAAATAGAGGAATAAAAAATACATCTGTCTCTTTCCCTTGTAGTCTTGTCTGGTGTTAATAAGTGAAGTGGGGTTTGTCTTGCATGGCTATCATGAAAATGTGACAGGCTCTTGACAGCATCCCAGTGCTGAATTCTGACCTAGATATTAAACAAGCTGCTGCCGCTGTCACTCTGAGGCTGACACAAGCTCTCCAGGGTGTTGCATTGGCATCCAACCTGGATCAAACAGCCGCTGTAAATAATTCTGAGAGTTTGTCTTTTTGACGTATCAGCCGAACAGGGTTAAAGGAGCAGTTCGACATTTTGTGAAATATGCTTATTTGCTTTCTTGCCCAGAGAGAGAAGATTGATACTCTCATGTATGCAGTACATGAAGCTACAGCCAGCAGAAAAGTTAGCTTAGCATTGCAATAAGAGTAGAAACAGGAGGAATCTGTTGTACCAAGTTTGTGTGAAGAATATATTGCTGCTGGCACATGAAAACTAAACTCCCCGCACGGTTTGATAACACAAGGGGGAGATAAAATATTTTTTTGTGTGATTTTAGAGAACTAACCCAGGTCACATGCACATACCTTTTACACAACAACACCACAAATAAGACATGGATCTTTTTTAGATTGTCAGTGCAGCGGGCAATAATGAAATACTGCAAAAGCTCTGAGAATCAAGATGTACATGATGTCACAATATGATACTAGTGATGCGATGTCAGTTTAAGTGAGTGTAGATTAAAGTGAACAAGAATCTCACACTGAGGCTGAGGGAGGACTGTTTCCTCTCTGTCCTGCAGGCAGTGTGCTCTGGTCGCTCTGCAGGATGTGAAGGCGTACCTGACGGAGGAGGGAGGACAGATCGCGGTGAGTGCTCTCATGCCTTTCTGTCCATCTGTCTCTCTGCCCTGTGTCTCTGTGTTGGCTAATTTCCAAAAGCTTTGAAATATCTAGATCAGAAGCACATCTGGCAGTAGCACAGTCTTAATCCTGAACTGTCCTACAAACGATTTTACCACAGGACACCCACATTATACATGAGATTTTGTTTTGAATTTGTCTTCCCCCTTTGTGTACCTTTTACCAGGTTTTTGATGCAACAAATACAACAAGAGAACGGCGAGACCTCATTCAAGCCTTTGTGAAAGAGCATGCATTCAAGGTAAGACTCGTAGAATTTTTTTATATAGCTGTGTTGTTTATCCTTTGCAATTATTTTAATTTTTCCCTCGAGGGCTTCAGTGGAAATTAGCCTTTGATATTTAAACATTCACACTGCAGTTCCCAGCACAGATATCTTCTGCACAAGTATAAAAAGAGCCATAAAGACAATGAGCATACTCATTAATGTCAGTGTAATGACATGAGCAAGGGTGTGTTTTACTGCTTATGAATTCAATTTTTCATTTGTAGGAAGAAGATTGTGTTATTTGTTGCTGCAAATGTTACATAGTTTCACTTTAAACTAAACTCTAAACAATGTTTTTTCATGCAAAAGTAGCTTTAGTTTAGACTTAAAGGAGCCATGAGGAGTTTCTGACCACCTGTAGTGCTGTGAGCAGTGTTTTGACTAATGAGTCCTCGCTTCGTTTGTATCTTGTGAGTCACATTCCTGCTACCAGTTTCACAACTTTCCACTGACTGACAGTTGCTTGCAGGAACCTAGCTATGTGTCAGGAATTGTAGGGAGGAAGAAGAAGACTAGCAAACATGGATATAAATAATGCAGGATTCAAAGAGAATACACTCACCCTGTTTGTTAGGTGTTAAGGGTGCGCAAAGCTTTTTAGTGAGAAATTGTCAGTGTAATCATACCTTTGATTCTTTACAAGAAAACTCCACAGGGGACCTTTAATCTCTGACTTAGAAACTGGAAGAGAGTGTGTCATGGTGTTGATTCAGTGGACAGTTTAAAAAAAAAACTTCAGCATATGTTGACCTCTGAGCTGCTCTCTTTCCAACAGGTGTTCTTTGTGGAGTCAGTGTGTGACGACCCAGAGGTCATTGCTGCTAATATTCTGGTATGATCTTATGTCACCTATGGGACTTTAGGTTTGACTGGGACTATGGGTCACACCCATAATCTATTAATATTGACACTATCTGCAGTGTTATGTAAGTAGTGCACCGCTTGCTCACATTGTTTGAATGTGTTAAATACCTGTAACAGGAAGTGAAGGTGTCCAGTCCAGACTACCCTGAGAGACACAGAGAGAGAGTAATGGATGACTTCCTTAAACGAATTGAGTGCTACAAGGTCACTTACCAACCGTTAGATCCTGATAACTACGACAAGTAAGAATCAGTCAGATCTTGCTGCTTGTCTTTATCTAAGTAGATCATTACATTTATCTTATTATCGAATCTGTTTTAAAAAATACAACTGGATCACAACTTTTCGAGGTTTTTTTTTTTTACCAAGCAGTTTGCATCCTGTCATTTTGGAGAGTTATGCCTTGCAATTCAGAAAATAAACACTAGATGGTGACAGTAAACAAACATTTGATTCATTACCACCTGCAGGGACCTTTCTTTTATCAAGGTGATGAACGTGGGCCGACGTTTTCTGGTGAACCGGGTGCAGGACTACATCCAGAGTAAGATTGTCTACTACCTCATGAACATCCATGTTCACTCTCACTCCATCTACCTGTGTCGGCACGGAGAGAGCAACCACAATGTCGAAGGCCGCATCGGAGGGGACTCAGAACTTTCTCCTCGAGGGAAACAGGTAGATTGGCTGTTCTCTGTCGTAATCCTAATTTTGTGAAGCGCAAAGCCAGTGTCTCTTGAACAACCCAATTACAAGCCTCTCTCAGGGAGACAGGTCATTGGGAAAAGGTGCACTTAACTTCCATATTATGAACAGCTGGGTCATGACCTTTATCACATTTCATTCTTCCCGTTTCCCCATTTTCTTGTCTCTGTCCACGGAGCATTAATCTAATGAAGCAGGAATACCATTACAAGGATGTATAGATGATGAAGAGACAGACGACTGGAAATCTCTCCCTTTTTCTCTCACGTCCCAGTTCGCCCATGCCCTGCGAGATTTCATTGAAGAGCACAAACTGTCAGATTTGAAGGTGTGGACGAGCCAACTGAGACGGACCATCCAGACAGCGGAGGAGCTGGGGGTGCCTTATGAACAGTGGAAGATACTCAACGAGATCGATGCTGTCAGTACCCTGTCTATCTAACCCCACACATAGATAGACAGAAAGTGTATTAGAGATGTTTTGATATTTAGATTATGATGTTAGATTAGTGGGGGGAAAAGCCGGGCTTCCTGACAATATGTAATACAGTACAATCTCTATGTCAAATATTTCATTTGTATTATGTGCACTTTGACATAAAGACAAATGTTTTGTTACCCTTTCCCCAGGGTGTGTGTGAGGAGATGACCTATGAGATGATCCAGAAGACATTCCCAGAGGAGTTTGCTTTGAGGGACCAGGACAAGTACCACTATCGCTACCCAGGAGGAGAGGTAACCTGGCACACTTCTTCCATCCCATAGTCTTGCACAGCTACTTCTGTCTTAATCAGGGTGTCCATTCAGGCTAAAGCAGTGGGTCCATTTCATTCCATCATCAACTTTCTTTGCTTAACACAATCTCTCTCACTGTTCCTTTTCTGTTAGAAGTTGTAAACGTTCATTGATAACTAAATATTTTCTCTTTTTTTAAACATAGCAGTCTACATTTAGATTTAACTTGTTTTTTTCCTGGATCAATAGTCCTACCAGGATCTTGTTCAACGACTGGAGCCGGTTATCATGGAGTTAGAGAGACAGGGCAACGTGTTGGTCATCTGCCACCAGGCTGTGATGCGCTGTTTGCTGGCTTACTTCCTGGACAAAAGTGCAGGTAGAAAAATACAGGACATGCTTCACTTCAGTACACACACATCACAAGTTCATGACTAGTGTGTGTTTCATACACACAGGCACTGACATGTGGTTTGTGGCTTTTTCTTCTTTCTTCTTCCCACAGAGGATCTACCGTACATGAAGTGTCCGCTCCACACAGTGCTCAAACTTACCCCTGTTGCATATGGTATGTCCTCCTCTTAGATGAAGCTCGAGTTTACACTGTGACTGATCTTTGCTCGTTGTTTTGTTTCAACGTATTCTATCTTATATTTTCTAGGTTGTAAAGTGGAGATGTTTTATCTTAATGTGGAGGCGGTAAACACACATCGAGACCGGCCTCTTGTAAGTTGCTCTGAATCAAGCTGAAAGAATCGCATTGTTGCTATATGTGCATTCAGCGCATGAGTTAAAGCCACAAATATTGTCACATGTGCAAAATATTTGTGTATTGTTAACTCACACATAAATAATTCAAAATTAATCCACAAATCACAACGTCTAATTCAAAGTCTAATGGGCTCTTGTTTGTTGTGCTATTGCGATGCAATCAAACCTCACCCCCTTGTATGTGAGACCTTGCTTCTTTGTCCCCCTTTCTTATATCCCTGTTTTGTTATTTCCCTTTTATCTTTAACCTTATTTAATCAGCCTGGCTTGAGCTGTGAGCTAATGGATGTGAAATAAGTTGTTAATTTGTTAATATTTTACCTTGTTTGACCATGGCTGTTCATGCTACCTTGCTTGGCTGATCTAATCGTTACCATCACTGGTTCCATTCTGATACTATAATCATAGATTATGTATAGAGAGATTATTTATGTATGAAAAGATGCTGTGTTTGAGCTGTTGACCCCACTTTTTCTTTTTAAAGGTTTACTCCCTTAATTGAAGAAGGTGTTAGTGTGTCTGTACGATCAGGGTTGCCGTGGCTTCAGTTGTCTTAACCTTTTTGCTGTGAAGAGGACGGCTAGTTTGATTGGCTGTGTCTGCTCAGGTGTCCCCTGCTGTTGTGTGTTCCCAGATCGTTTTTTTCCTTAACACCTGCGGTATTTCATCTCCTACCAGGGTAATATCCCGAGGGACTCTGCTCTCATACATCGGCGGAATAGTTACACTCCCTTGTCCAGTCACGACCAGGTCAAGCGTCCCAGGCTCTACAGTGCGGGTAATCAGCCCTGGCTACCTCTTGCTCCCACCCCATCAGCTCTGATGCCAGAGGGACGGCAAAGCCAAGTTAGTGAAAGAGTTACAGGCTCCCCCTTTAAATTAGTCACCGTCAACTGTAATCAAGTCACCTCCCACCACAGTTGTAACCCTGTGTTTGGCATTCCCTCGCCTCAGTTTTGGATCCTCTCGATGATTTAGTGTCTGTGTTGAAAGTGACGTACATGGAACCCATCTCTATATGTCCCTCTCTCTCTCTCAGGGCATGTTTTGGGTCTTGAACAGGTTGTTCTCCTCTTTTAATGTTGTGGCTGTCAGATGTTTGTCTTGCATGACCCCTGCTTCACCCCACTGGGCTGTATCCAGCTTGAATATGCAGAACAGCATGTCTCTTATTTGCTGAGGAAATCTCCCTATGAGTCGGCCTTACGAGTTCATTGTGGGATATTAAAAAACACACCAACATGAAAGACATCTTGTACTGTTTTGTGACAAGTGATCATAATACACATAGTAAACATATTTGCTATAGATAATCTAATAAGCGATGATTCCAGTTGAAACCCATTTAGGGGCAATTTGAGAAAAATAATATAATACATAGATGACATGTTTGAAACCTTCAAAAAGTGTTGAAATGTAAAAATGCATATTCATATTTGTATGTGTTTTGTATTTGTTGGCCTTGCCTTGTTCGTACAGTGCTTCAGCCCATCTCCACATTTCTATCTATCTCTCTCTTTCTCCACTTTCTCCAACCCTGTGTTTCAGCCCCGGATAGGAAGCAGTTGTCTGTGAGTATTTTGGAGACTTGCTACATGTAGCCAACCCTTCGTTTTCTTTCCTCATAACTCCACTCATGTCATGTTAACCCATGTCAATATGCTGTATGTTATTGCAGTGGTGTATTATTTTTATGGTTTTCAGCCCTTGGGTTTTTCTAACCTTCCATTACCTTTGCACAGTGAAAGCTGCAATCAGTTTTGTTTTATCTCAGCGGCCTTATCAAGAACACTCATGACACCCACTGATTCCTTGGGAGTTTAATTAATGGCTGCAACACTGAAAGCAACTTCAACAAAACTCTTTGAATATATATTTTTAAATGGTAAAATAATGGCAAACAAGTACAAAATATATTGTACACACATTAAATTATGGTGATTCAGCGGTGCTTCAGTATTGATTAAAGTGCAAGGATAAGATAATGGTTTGGAGCCAGTAATACATAGGGTCAGCAAGTGATTAATAATTAATCACTTCTTGAGAATGTGCTAAAGAAAAGTCTCCAGTACTGTGTAATTCTTTACCACACTTCAAACAATGACCTAATTTTTCAAATAGGAACTTAAGAGTCCTTGGCCGCCTGGGAAGCTATTAGTTTCCTTGAATAGGATTTGCTGCTGTAAGGCATTAATTTGTGAATGTCAGTGACATTTTCTTTTTCTTGAAGGAGTCCCTGTGCGAAGGAATCGACTTTGACAGCCCCGAAGAAACTAGTGGCTGTGTCCGCTTCTGAGTGAGGATGAAAGCCTCTTTCTTCATGGCACATTGTCGGCAAAAGTTTTGGGTGAAGCAAAAGACAGAAAGAAATGTTTTTTTGTTTTTTTTAACCACATTTTTGGAAATCATGGTCAGAATAGTGTGGGATGATGTCAAACAGTTTGTTTAGAGTACGAGGCAACCTGCACACAAGGTCATTTTTGTTCCTGTTTATTTCAACCTCCTGTTTGTCTTTACTCTGCATGCTGAGGCTTTGAACTGGAGGCCTTATCATTAGTATCATAAATTCTTCTGCATGTGCGCCAAAAGAAATCAATCAACCATCAGAACATACTGTATTATAAAACTGGCAACTAATCCTCATCGTACTGTAAATAATACAATGCCTTACTGAACACAAAATATATGGATAGATTTAGCTCCTCTGAATGTAACAGGAACAAGTTATGCATTATTATGATGAAAATCAATTTTCACTGTTGCAAGCAGAATATGTTATAAAGTAGATGCTGTAAAAATATTTTTATATTACAAATCCACTCATCTAACATATGCAGACAACCTGTAGTTGTAATTCTAAGCCATCATCTTTTGTGTCTTATGTTATAGATTTGAAAGAATGTACTCATCAGGTTCTGAAGGAGATTAAAATACTGTACTGAGTTTCTGTTATGGAAGCATTTTATGTGTTGTTAGAAATTACACCACATTGCTGGACATACTGTACACCAGCAGTAGACAAACAAAGTTACTTTTCTGTCACAAGCTGCAATTTATTAACCTAATGTATCGAGCTAGTATTATCTGTCTTCATAAACACTAAATGGTCAATGTTCATCTGTTAATCCATTGTTCTTTATACCTATGTATTCTAGGAAGCAATTTTGTGCAACAAAGACATAACATGTTGAAGGTAGGTTAGCTGTTGTTTGATACTTGTGTTCATGTTATCATACTGACCAAGAATTTGTTTGAATGGCTTCATGCAAGTGTATCTTTTTTTCTTTAATTCTCCTTAACATCAGCTATTTTTATCAAATAACTGAGAGTGGTACGAGTTTCTATGACTATGTAATGTTTGACTGTTGACAAGTTATTGCCCTGCTCAAAGCAGCCTCTTGTGCCTTTTTAGCAGACAATAAAAGTGAGTTTTGAAGTGACATTAGATTTTTTTTTTTTTTTTTTTACATAGAAATGTAGTAGATGTGAATCTTTCAATCTTCCAAATGGAGTGATCCAAATCTGTTATAAGTTATATATTTATTTATTTGTAACTATATAGCTGTCCCTTGTTTCATTCAAAATTGCCTCAAAATGGTTAAAGAACTAAATGAATTGTAAATGCAGATAAGCAGGTCGGTATCGGACATTTGGTAAATTTGGAATATCAAGGACACAGGTTTGGTCTCAACATTCGTATCGATGCAACAACCCTGCCACCCCTCCAAAACAAAGAGATTGGCTTTTTAATGCCATCAACCAAACGGTTTATTGACATAAACTTGTAAATTCATATATCCAGAGGATGTATATATGTCATTGTAATATATCCTCTTATTGGTGAAACATATAGTAACACCATTCTTGATAGAGGGACATAAAAGCCATATATATGTCATAAGTCATAGTATAGTAAGCCATAAAAATGTTGTAGCATAGTGAGTAATAAAAACATACTATAATAAAGCATTAAAGGTCATAGTATAAGTCATTAAATGTTGTTGTATAGTAAGGCATAAAAAAGTCATAGTACGGTAAGGCATAAGCATGTCATAGTATAGTAAGATATAAAAACTCTATAGTGAGAGATAAAAAAAGTCATAGTTTAGTAAGGTATAAAACATCATAATGTAGTAAGTAATGAAAACGTTATAGTACAGTAAAACATAAAAAGTCATAGTATAGTAAGTCATACAAAAGTCAGTATAGTCAACCATAAAAAAGTCATAGTGTAAAAAGTAAAAAAAAAACATCATAGTATCTTAAGTCATAAAAAACACCAAGAAAAGCATAACATCGTCATTGTTACGTTGATGATGTGATGAACCGATGTTGGACTCCAGAGCAGAGACAGCACACAAAACACACCAGGAATAACAATGCAAGTGAGTTTATTTGGGAAGAGGCAATAGTGATGGTGAATACAGACAGGGAGTGGGTCCAGGTAATCCAGTTGTGAGTACACAAGGCAGGAGTACGGAGGACAATGGAAACCAGAAGTAAGTGAGTGAACACACTCATGAAACATGCGGGATGACTGGAGACTAAAGGCAGGTGGGTGGTGTGGCGTGGCGACAGCGGAGTGTGGCAGGATCATCAGCACAAAAATCACAGAGTCTTCTGGAGCACAGGAGTACACAGAGTTAATACAAGCAAAACCACCAGGGAGATCAATGAAACACTAGGTAACTGTAGTCACATACACTAATCAGAGAAAAGTAACAGTTTATTAAGTCATAAAAAAGTCATTGTATAGTAAAGTTTAAAAAAGTCTAGCTATACTAAGGCATAAAAAAGTCATAGTATAGCAAGGCATAAAAGGTAACAAATATTTCATAGTATAGTAAGGCATAAAAAGTGAAAAAAACCTCAGTATAGTAAAGCATAAAAACTCACAAAAACTTCGTAGTATAGTAAGGCTTAAAGAGTCATAGTATAGCAAGGCATAAAAAGTCACAAATATGTCATAGTATAGTAAGACATATAAAGTCATAAAAACGTCATTGTATAGTAAGGCATAAAAAGTCAAACAAATGTAATAGTATAATAAGGCATAAAATTGACATAGTATAGTAAGGCATAAAAAGTCCTAAATATGTCATAGTATAGTAAGACATATAAAGTCATAAAAACGTCATAGTAAGGCATAAAAACGACATTGTCATGGTCTCAGCCTGGAGGCTCCAGGGTTTTGGTTTTTTGGACTTTTTTGGACTTTCTTGATTTAGTTTTCTGTGTTTTGGGTATTTTCAGTGTCTAGTTTAGTCTTCCCTGTCTTGTGCTCTGTTTCCCCGTGCACTTCCTGTTTTATTTTGTAATTTGTTTCCTTGTGTGTCTCAGTGTTTTTGCTTCCAGTCTTGGTCCTGTTTCTGTGTGGTGATTGTCTGCCCCGCCCTAATGTGTTTCACCTGTGTTCAATCACCCTTGCCTCCCTTGTCTATATAGTCTTTGTGCTTCCCTTTGTCTGTGTCAGTTCGTCTGTTGTCTCTCTGTTATTCTCTGGCTTTTCCTCGATCTGTTCATGTCTGTCTAATCATCAATCTGCTCACGTGGCCTGTTCATGTCTGGTATGTCCCCGAGCTGTCCATGTCTGGTTTGTACTTAGTTTGTTCATGTCTGGTTTGTTTTCGGTCTGTTCATGTTACCTGTTCATGTTCTCCTGTTGTCATCCCCTGTGGTTCCCTGTGCTGTTGTATAAGTTCCTTTGGTTAGTTTAATAAACCTGTCTGCACTGTCTCCCATGCGTTGGCTGCATTTGGGTCCAGCCTTACCCCCACAAACCCTGACAACCATGAAAGACATAGTAGAGTAAGGCATAAAAAGTCATAAAGTCAAAAAAATGACATAGTATAGTAAAGCATAAAAGTCAAAAGAATGTCATAGTATAATAAGGCATAAAAATGACATGGTATAGTGAGGCATAAAAAGTCAAAAATTTGTCATAGTATAATAAGGTATAAAAAGTAATAAAAATGTCATAGTATAGGAAGACATAAAAAGTCATAAAAATGTCATAGTATAGTAAGGCATAAAAGGCACAGAAATGACATAATCCAGTAAGGCATAAAAATTACATATATAGTAAGGCATAAAAAAGTCATAAAANATAAAAGGCACAGAAATGACATAATCCAGTAAGGCATAAAAATTACATAGTATAGTGAGGCATAAAAAGTCATAAAAATGTCATAGTATAGTAAGGCATAAAAAGTCAAATAAAGGACAGTATAGTAAGGCATAAAAACGTCATAGTATAGTAAGGCATAAAACGTCTAAAAAACGTCAAAAGAAAGTATGGCAGGAAAATGCCAAAAAACGTCATAGTATATTAAGGCATAAACGGTCATAAAAACGTCATAGTATGGCAAAGCATTAGATTAAATTATATAATTAGGCATAAAAATGCCAAAAAACGTCAAAGTAAAGTACGGCATAAAAATGCCAAAAAACGTCATAGTATGGTCAGGCATCAAAGGAGATAGTATAGTAAGAAAGAAAAATGCCAAAAAACGTCATAGTATAGTATGGCAGAAAATGTCAAAAAAAACATCATAGTATATTAAGGCATAAAAGGTGTCAGGTTTACACCACCTAAGACATTGAATACTGACACAAAGAAGAGAAAGACAAGAGCGTTATTTCTTACTCGCGAGGAGAACGGACAGAGATATGCTCAGTTACAATCTCCAACCCGCTCTGAGCATATTCCACCGTCTCCTCTCTTTTTATTATCACACAAAGCATTCCAAGCATTCTTAAGTTACAAGTCATCGCTTATCTTAAAGAACTGAGAACCACACAAAAGAAATATGATGGGTGCCTGACTATACATAGTTCACATGTTCATCCCATGATGTAGAAGTAGAACAATCAGGCTCCAGTCTGCTCTGTGCATCGTGGTCCCCTTTATCAGCAATCCCCTGTAACACAACTTCATCACAAGACAAACTGTATGCATGGTTATTATCACATGTCAAACTATACGCATGATTATAGGACTATAAAGCAGGATACATGGTTAGTTAGTAAATATGAGATAAATCCATATATACAATTATTCCAACAAAAGGTCATAAAAACGTCATAGTATGGTCAGGCATCAAAGGAGATAGTATAGTAAGGCAGAAAAATGCCAAAAAACGTCATAATATAGTATGGCATAAAATGTCAAAAAAACATCATAATATATTAAGGCATAAAAGGTCATAAAAACATCATAGTATGGCAAAGCATGAGATTGAATAATATAATTAGGCAGAAAAATGCCAAAAAACGTCAAAAGAAAGTATGGCAGAAAAATGCCAAAAAATGTCATAGTATATTAAGGCATAAAAAGTCATAGTATAGTAAGGCATTAAAACTCATAAAAACATCATAGTATATTAAGGCATCAAAATTCATAAAAATGTCATAGAATGGCAAAGCATGAGATTAAATAATGTAATTCGGCATAAAAATGCCAATAAACGTCAAAGTAAAGTATCGCAGAAAAATGCCAAAAAACGCCATAGTATATTAAGGCATAAAAGGTCATAAAAACGTCATAGTATGGTCAGGCATCAAAGGAGATAGTATAGTAAGGCAGAAAAATGCCAAAAAACGTCATAGTATAGTATGGCAGAAAAATGCCAAAAAACGTCATAGTATAGTATGGCATAAAATGTCAAAAAAACATCATAGTATATTAAGGCATAAAAGGTCATAAAAACGTCATAGTATGGCAAAGCATGAGATTAAATAATATGATTAGGCAGAAAAATGCCAAAAAACGTCAAAAGAAAGTATGGCAGGAAAATACCAAAAAACATCATAGTATACTATGGCATAAATTGTCAAAAAAACATCATAGTATATTAAGGCATAAAAGGTCATAAAAACGTCATAGTATGGCAAAGCATTAGATTAAATAATATAATTAAGCATAAAAATGCCAAGAAACGTCAAGGTAAAGTATGGCAGAAAAATGCCAAAAAACGTCATAGTATAGTATGGCATAAAATGTCAAAAAAACATCATAGTATATTAAGGCATAAAAGGTCATAAAAACGTCATAGTATGGTCAGGCATCAAAGGAGATAGTATAGTAAGGCAGAAAAATGCCAAAAAACGTCATAGTATAGTATGGCAGAAAAATGCCAAAAAACGTCATAGTATAGTATGGCATAAAATGTCAAAAAAACATCATAGTATATTAAGGCATAAAAGGTCATAAAAACGTCATAGTATGGTCAGGCATCAAAGGAGATAGTATAGTAAGGCAGAAAAATGCCAAAAAACGTCATAGTATAGTATGGCAGAAAAATGCCAAAAAACGTCATAGTATAGTATGGCATAAAATGTCAAAAAAACATCATAGTATATTAAGGCATAAAAGGTCATAAAAACGTCATAGTATGGTCAGGCATCAAAGGAGATAGTATAGTAAGGCA